AGGAGCTGAACACTGAAGACAATCCAGACTTTCCTCAGGTACAACATCACATCACTGCACTGACCATGCTCTATAAGAATCTGGTTAAAACATCCCTGAATTTAARCAGAGTCATGAAGAAATTTGCTTCTCAGTAACAGAAGAGCAAAATTTATGTACTAAAAATAAAACACTACACGACATTGTAATGCTGTTTTATTATTGTCATTTGTTTAATAAATACACTGGCGTGATACAACTTAGTACATGTTTGATTGCTTTTTGGGATACGTCTATTTTGGAGTTGTAGCCCCACCTGGAGAAAAGTCCACCAGCCGCCACTACTTACCATCACTTTGGTTGAGATTAATCTTMGTCTCAGCATTGTCTTCCAGACTTTTTGTGGCTCATCTCTGTACTTTTTTGTAAATTTCAATCTGGCCTTCTGATTCGTCTTCCTCATGTGGTTTGCATCTTTGTGTATGTCTATATTTCTGCTCTCTGAGTCTTCTTCCAACAGTGGATTGTGATAACTTCACCTCTGAGCTGTAGAGGTCGTTGGTGATTTTACGTACTGATGGTTTTTTTTCTCACAGCTCTCACAATCTTTCTGTCATCAACTCCTGTTATTTCCTTGGCCGACCTGTTGGACGACTGTTGCTCAGTWCYCCAGTAGMTTCTTTCTTATTCAGAACATTCTACATTGTTGTGCTTGCTATGCCCAGTGTTTGTCCACTGGCTCTGATTGACTTTCATTCTTTTCTCAGCTTTTCTCCCATAGACTGCTCTCTGGTCTTCATGCTGGTTTATCCTCTTTAACAAGAACAACTTATATGATAGGTTTAAACCCAGACCAAAGAGTAGACTAGTCATGCAGAGATATTTAATGGTTGAACAATCAACCGTAAAGGCAACATCTGGTCAATAAGAAACACCTGTCAGTCATATTTCATGTTGCTCACTTGAAAAATGGGTAGGTTCAAASAAAGAGTGGTATGTTGAGAAGATGAGGTGTTTAACACATCTACATTAGCCTGGTTTAAACCAGACCCTGTCCTTCACTTTGCTTCTTACAAGGGTCTGGACTTGAAGCATAGAGAAGTGTTTCTTGCAGGAGGCGTGGCCTCTGCTGAAGTTTAAAATGATTGGATCAGTTGGCTGCGACGTATGTCGCTGTAACTGAGGCTAAGCTAAGAAGCTAACCGGAAATCGAGTGCGCTGTAAACAACTCTACTGAGAGGAGAAAAGTACCGAGCCAAACGAGACGACTATAAATGAGAGCTGCTGTTTTGTCAGACAAATTTATTTTAATTTGAAGCCTTATCAACACAGACTGGCTTTATTCACTTCCTCCACTGCTGTATGCTAAAATAACTAGCAGACACTGTGCAGAACATCAACATCATTCAAAACTCCGCCTTCTGTTCTCTGATTGGCCCAGGTAAAATAAACTACAAGCAGACACTGCGCAGAAAATTGACGTTCTGTTCTCTGATTGGCCAAAAATCTGCCAGAGAAATTCATCTCAATGGGAGAAGTCCCAGACGGAGCAGAGAAGGGAAACTAGAATTGAGCGGAGCTGCGTAGGAAGGCAAGGGCCAGGACATATCTACATGTAAATACCAGGAAATAAAAGCTGACACCCAGATGTCTTCAGTGAACAACAAAAACAAAAGAAATTTACTTTTGGAGGGGACTGTATTTRAATTAGCTCATGTGATYAGGGATGAAAATATTAAAGGACCAATATTATGTGTTTCTCAGGCATATATTTAGCGTCTTCTATGATGCTGTTTACACTCTTACACCCTTTAAATGTAGACATGCTATAATATGGTCACATTTGTCAGGAGGACTCATGACATGTCCATGTATTTTTTTACAAAAATATTTATTTGTAAAATATCATATAGTATAGTTAACAAAGTTGAAAAAAGCTAAGCTAAATGTGGCTAAAAGGATTAATTAAAAGATGTGCAAAATTAGTGTGGTCATCTGTTTACATMATAAAACTGATGTTAATAGAAAGTCATAGATTGTGGCTGTTTTATGGCTGTAGATCAGTCCTGTGTGTTGCTCTGGTCTGTTTCCACTCTGCTGGGTGTTTGGACTGTGACCACCGGCTGTGGAGCAGAAAACACAGAAAAGATGTGGGTCACAGAAAAAAAACAGTCACTTAATTGTTTTGTTACTGCGAGATGCTGCCAAAGTTATCAGAAATTTAACTATTTCATTCTTTCTGTGTATTCCAGGTTGAACTGTATTGAAATTAGGAACAATTTAGATTGGAGACAAATATCCCTGGCCACCACTGAATCCAACATTTACACTCTGGTTCTGTCTACTTGTCCTTCAGCTGCTCCCTGCAGGAGTATCTACAAGTGATCAACTGCCTCCATCTTTCCCTCTCCTCTCTCACACAACAACCTGTTGATCCACCTCCTCTGAGCTCTTATTTTCTTTCTCCTCAATGCAACTTCGTAATCAATGTCCTTTTATCCAGTAATGTCCACTGTGACTCCTCTGCYCATGTCCAAACCATCTCAAACTCGTCTCCAAACCTGGGCTGTGTTTTTGTGAGCAGCACCATATCCAAACCAAACACCAAGCATGGCTTTGTTTCAAAGGCAAATTCAACAACAGATACAGTTAGTTAGAGGTTCACTGCTTTAGTGACAGGTAACTCACCATTTTAGGAGCTGGRCCACAACAGTTGACCACCTTGCAGCAGTATGCAGCCAGAGTGACAGAGATGGCCAGCAGAGCAGCCTGAATGAGCACACCTCCAGCATAAAAGTGGGAGTGGATGTTCTGTAAGAGAGTTGCCACCAAAAAATTGGTTGTACYCTCTAAAARTTCYTTGGACCACCTTTAGCTGTGATTATGGCACGCATTRGCTGTGACATTGTTTCGATAAGCTGACCAACTGCAGCAACCCCACATCGTAGCACTGCCCCCACAGGCTTGTACAGTAGGCACTAGGCATTCTTACCCTGACGACCTTCTTCCATTGCTCCAGAGTCCAATCTTTATGCTCCCTAGCAAATTGAAGCCTTTTTTTCCACTTAGCCAATGATTTAACCCTTCTCAAAAAGACAATGCAGAAACATTTTATTTACAATGTAATTAAAAGGCTCTGGCTCAGACTCTGGTGCTGGGTTAGACTCTGACTCCATGTAAGGTTGGATGGACAAGTCTTCTGTTGTTGACATCTTTTAATTTAATTATAAATAAAACATTTCTGAAAGCTAGAAAATGTAACCCACCCCTCTCTCTCTAACCGGAGTGGACCAATCTGGAAGCAGGAGGGGGGCGGAGCTTGAAGTATCTTAAAGGAACAGTATCAAAACAAGCTGCTTTATGACACATCAGAAAGGGGGTGAACGAGAGTTTGGCAAAGTTAGAATAAGAAGGGATTCAAACAAAAGCATTGCTTTTCCACTTTATAAAGACCCCAACTGAATGATTTAAATATGAAAAGAAAGGATTTAAAAGCACAATACTTTATGATGTTGCCAAATTTACAAACACAAGGATTGCTAAAAATGAAGATGAAACCTGAAGAGAAGACATCTCTTACCTCAATCTGGCGACAGATTACGTCATATTTGGTGGAGGTGTTCGTGCTCTCCCAATGATACATCCAGCAGCCACCAAATGAGCTCCCAAGCATGATGAGAGTAAAGATGATGTTCACGACAGACACCATACAGGCCACGATCTGCATCCCCAAACAGGCCCTCAGCTGGAACACAGAGGAGCGGCTCTGACTGTGACAGAAATGTTTTTCATATTCACYTAGCAGAGGCAGATTAATTAATTACACGGTAGCTCAAAAAGTAACACTGTTTGAAGCCACAAAGCTCAGCACTGGGTCAAAGCTAGAACCTTTAGTCATGTCTGCATTAAAAGGGGAAGAAAGGATGGCCTCGTGTTTAAATTCTGAACTAAAAGTTTCACTTCAGTCTGTCCCCTCAGCAGCTGCTTCCTGACCAACATGTCTGGTTTTATTGTTCTCGCTGCAGCACAGAGCTGCTGTTGCTCAACACCCAGCTGCTACGGGAATGTAGCTCTGCTTGTCATCAGGGCTGTCCATTTCAGGAAGAAGTCGCCCATTGACAGGGCTGGACTGCTGAAAGAATCAGACCCAGTCATCAGATTCAGGCTCTGAAGACAACTGCTCGATGTTGAAGTCAGTATGAAAAAGGGAGGGTGGGGTCTTCACAGTTAGATTATCAAGTCTGCCCAAGCATAAACACTGAAGCTCAGTTATTGTGTAAATGCTGAGTCAACTCCTGTTTTTCTAACTTAGAGCWGACTTTGTGCAGTTTAACCCATTCTTATTGTTTATTAAAACATTTAACTCTACTTAACATTTAGGTTTTTTCATATCTTTAACTGTTTTAACATAAAAAGAAACAAAAATTCTCACTGAAATCAACTCTTCAAAAACGTTTGTTCTCTTTGAAACCACTGATACTTTTAGCTTCCAGCAACCATGTTTCTTTTAGCTATTTGTCTACTGTTTTGTTGATTTTAGCTTTAGCATCTGTTTAGTGGCAGTTTAGCTCATTTTAACGTTCTGCTAATTGTAGCAACTTCTTTTTTGGATTTTAGCTTTAACATTTGTTTTGCTACTTGTAGCAAAAGTATTTGTTTTATTGTAGTTTCATTACCTAATTGCTTGTTTTAGCTTTGGCCTCTGTTAGCAAACCATCAGTTTATTTATATATAGCATCTAAAAACAACAAAAAGACCAGTGTTTTGCAGTTTAGTCAAATAAAGTGTAAAATGAATAAATACGTTTTAGTTACTGTTTTGCTAATTGTAGCTTTTAGCTACAGTTTTGCTTTTAAATGTTGACTACAATTTTCTACTTTTAGCTACAGTTTTGCTATTTTTAGCTACTGTTTTTATATTTAGCTTTAACATCTGTTGCAATGTTTAGCTGAGGTTTTGATAATGTTAACATGTGGTTCATTTTTTGTGTTTAAACCATGTTATGTTGTGGCATCTGTGACGGAGTGMTTAMGGGAGTCGTCCCCTAACCAGTAGGTTGTCGTTTRTGATCCCCTGTTCCAGGCATCTCCGTCGTTTTGTCTTTGGGCAAGACARTTCACSCGCCTTGCCTACTGATGGTGGTCAGAGGGTCTGGTGSTGCCGAGGCYTCGCAGCCCAGCTTCTGTCAGTGTGCCCCAGGYCAGCTGTGGCTARYATGTAGCTRACTATCATCASTGTGTGGATGGGTGAATGACTGAAGTGTAAAGTGCTTTTTGGAGTTTGTATGGGGCTTGATAAAGCTCTAAGCTTAGTCCATTTACCATTTGCCATTTATTTCCTATGATGTTCAGTAGTTTTGTGTGTGTGTGTGTGTGTGTGTGTGTGTGTGTGTGTGTGTGTGTGTGTGTGTGTGTGTGTGTGTGT